AGTCAAACTGATACCCTGGCATCCACTCCATTGGCATTAAGCTATAATTACTTCTATACATTTCAGGGATGATACAAGTACCCTCCAGGCAAATGCTGCACACCCAGATACACACACACACAATCTGCAGTTCCCAGTTCATGCTATGCCAGGCATTCAACACACATTTGGTGTTTGAAACTTCAAGCCTCCTACTTCAGAATGCTTTCCAATAATCTAGAGCAGAGTATTTTATTTTTCCTAGGTTATAAGTGTATGTATATAATTAAGCTATGCTGAGACTGAATAGAGTTCTCAATAAGTTTAAAACTTATACCCTAAAACAAGTTGAATTTTTAAGAGAAAAAGTAACAGAATTGTTGGGAGCCGCAGCCGAGCCCGGTCGCCTTACTTGGCGGACGTGAGGCCTGTAGGAAAGAGCAAAGCCTGAGCTAGATTACCCCTCCCATCGAGTGTGCTAAGATGGCGCTTATCTCCTGCTTCCTGCTTGGTAAACAACCCGCCCTGTAAGATCTCCTGCTTCCTGCTTGGTAAACAACCCGCCCTGTAAGATCTCCTGCTTCCTGCTTGGTAAACAACCCGCCCTGTAAGATCTCCTGCTTCACAACCCGCCCTGTAAGATAGTCTGCCTAGCAACAACTGATGTTAGCCAATCAGCCCGCATCGCGCGCTTTGAACTGATTGGCCACTGTAACCCTATAAAAGTGAGTGCCTCTCCCGCCACGAAAAAAGAAGCAAAAGAAGCACGCAAGGAGCCGCGGAGAGCGGACCGGTAGAGGCTTCGGGACAGACTGTAGGGAGAAGCACGCAAGGAGCCGCGGAGAGCGGACCGGTAGAGGCTCCGGGACAGACTGTAGGGAGAAGCACGCAAGGAGCCGCGGGGAGCGGACCAACAGAGGCTTCGGCCGGGAGGATTCCCGGGGCAGGCTGTACGGAGAAGGAAAATAAAAGAAAAGGTTGTCCACTGCCAGACTTTGTTGTGTGTCCTTCCTGCCGGCCGGGAGTGACACCGACACAGAATGTCTAAATTAATCTTTACTATTCCATCCAGCTCTAAAGTTCAAGTTCTAGGTTTATGGGTAAAGTTAGTCTTTTTTTACCACATCCATTTGTCTCTCTGTGTGCGCACACAATCTCTCTACTTGGAAAGGAGCCCTATCCATGTCATACTTGCCTCACTGAGGACCCAGGCATGTGTCTCAAATTTAGTCCACCTTCTTTTTCTTGTTCCTTTTATCACTTGTTTTCATAAAAGCTTATTTTGAGCACAATTGTAATGTTTTCTTTAGAATTAATGAAACTTACTTCTTTTTTTATTAGATAGGCAAGTTTCCATGTTTCCAGAATAAATAAATTCAGCTGCAAAGGACAGATATTTAGGCTATTAAGTCCTGCCTAACTTTAGCACTGCACACAGTGCCTCCCATGTAGCTGGCACGGAAAGAATGCTGAATGAATGAATGTTCCCTATGAAGTCATGAAGGAAATACCCTCAGCTTTAAGTTCAACAGCTGATCAAGGAGACATTCTCTTGCCACTCCTTAGAACAGTATATCTTATCTTATGGGCCAAAGAACAGCTCTGATGTTATCTGCTCCCAGGAGAGATGTAGAAAGCAGCAGAACTGTCTTTCATGGATTTTTTTTAAACTATGAAAATTACCTTATAAATTACCTCTAGCAAATTAATCTTTCTTCTTCTCCTTCTAAACTTATAATTATGAAAGGAAGTACAACAACATTTCTCTGTAAAGAGATTTAGTAATTCTGGCAGTACTTCATTAATCACTTAATCAGTGTTCAAGCATAACTGATGTCCTTGACATATATAATCTATCTTGATTCCTCCCACATTTAGTTTGCATCTTTTTTTGATCCAACAACTATACACACTAGGAATTAGTGACCTGTTTTCACATTGTAATTTTATTAGAGATAAATTGATGTTCGTATCACAATCAGCATGTTAATTCCTACAGTGGGTTTCCTTATAATCTACTTGAAAAGTTGTTTTCCTCTAGTGAATTTATAGAGATTAACAGTGCTATAATCAGATGTTATTAGTACTTAATGAGAAAGTGGGTTTAGATAACCTATTAGCTTAATATATTTGAAAGTAGTATGTTTATTTTTATAGGCAAGCCACATCTACCTGTTTATGATACATTCAGAAGAAGACTTCCTAAGCTATACCATAAAGGCAGCTGGCATAGAAATATAATGACATCTCAAGGTTGAGCAGTATAGATTAGATTTGTCCATATTTTCTACCTTGGAAAGTATTTTTATGGTCAGTGGTGTAACTCTGTAGTCTATAGTGTATAGACTATAGTCTATAGTTCTTATTATGCTATTCTTTTTATCTTAACATGTAATAATTTGGAAATTTAAAACATAATTCTTTACCCCAAACCTTATTGATGTATAATTTCCACATCCACTTGGTCATAATCCACCTATCCCTCTACTCACACACTTCTTTCCACATCATATATTTTCTCATTTATATAAAAAAAAGCAACAGCAGAGACTTTGTAGGTCAGAAATGTGAAGAATAATAGGTGGAAACTTGTAGTGCACAATTATACATGTACTCGAACAAGTGAGACAAAGACTTTGCTATCATTGTTGCTTGGAGAGTATTTTTCCTCCAGATGATAGTATGAAGTCCCAGAATTATTTAAAACCAAAAGTCTACCTACTATGTACTGAAGAAATTAAAAATAAATTTTTATGCTAATGTTAGAAGAGTCCTTAGAGGATGCTCAGATTAGGACTTTATAGTTTTCAACCAGATCTACTACTGAATCTATAGACCAAACATTAAGAAGTCCAAGGGATAATAACAATAATACCTCATATTTACTGAAATCTTCGCACTTCCCCACACTGTGAGCTTTACAGGGGCTATTTAATGGGATATCCTTAATATCCCTCCCGAGCAGGTCAGGTTCATGATTATTTATTTCTGGTTCAAAGAAGAAAGCTAAGATTTGCAGAGACCAAGAATCTGCCCAGAATTACACAAGCTGGTCTATAGTGGAAGGCTATGGCTTTCCTAAGCCAGGGCTCTTTGCCTTTTAGTCTATTTGTTCTACTTGTCTGTCATATATATAAACTGAAGCCTACTCAGTAGGTTGCAGATCTGGATATATTTGAATGTGCGTATTATGTAGAAGCTGAGCTACAGAACCATTATAGTAAATTAATTATCCTTTAATGAAAATTTAATGGAACTCTGGGCTAGCTGGAAAGTGATTAGTACATTACAACAAATTAAGGTTAACATTTTACCAGGGCATGGAAAGGTAGAAAGCAGGGTTGGAGGGAAGGTTAATTATCAGAGTCCATCTCTCACTGGAGAGAGGTGAATTTGATTTTGAGTGACTATTACTAATAACCATAGAAACATGCCCTTCATTAGGAAAACAAATTTCCTGATCTAAATGAAGTCTCCCTGAAGCCATTCATTCTCTGGTTCCCCTACTGCCACTCCCTTCTCTTTTTCTCTGATGTATGGTGATCAAAGAAATTTTCTGACAACTAATTTAACTCCTCAAACACATGGCTAGGGAAAAAAGGGTATCGATTATTAAATGCGGTGTGGTCTACGTTAATGTATTGACAATTTTTTAAACTATGTCTTAAATGATTCAGGTTACTGTAAATCAGCTCTCCTAGTCCCAGTTAATTTTGGAGAAACCACAAGCACTTTTGCCAAAATAAATGATTGTTCCTCAAACTCCTCCCTGAAGGGGCTTGTGCTGCACTAAGCCAGTCTGTCAGAGACACTGCCTTGTTCCTGCTCCGCCCCTGCCATGTGACATGATCTGCTCTAAACTCAGTCATTTTAGGAGAATCCACCAGTGTCCCTTCAGAGTTCTGAACAATAGGTAGGAAGTAACATGTAACATGGAAGGCTAGCCAACAGGAGAAGAAAAGAGCTCCTGGGCCTGACCAGACACTCTGAACTGAGGTAAGCTGAGCAACCCCCTGGCTAAGGAGCAGCTGCTGCTGTGTTCCATAAGTAGCAAGCATTTACTGAACTTCAGTGGTGTGTTCTGTACCCTTGGTGCTTAGATCAAAGAAACAAGATGTGATTGTCATCTTCAAAAAGACTGCGGGAAAATACGTTCATAATTATCGTGCAATAATTGGTGACTGGCTGCTCAAGGTAAAGTCTGGTAGGAGGAAGGTAGCTATCATGAATTCCCTGGCTGGGTCTCAGCAGCGTACCTGCAGGAAAGTCACCCAAATCCCTTCTTCCAGCTCTAGGTGGAAATCTCAAGGGTATATCTACTAAGGGGTGTTCCTACTCCTGTCCAGGTTCTCCAGGTCTCTCTCATCTAGGTGTGGTGTTAACAACTGTCCAGGACACCACAGGCTGCTGCCCCACCCACCCAACGAGGCTGCTATTGAAAAAGTTTATCCCAAAGCAAAATGTTGCTACCTTTTTACTCTGAATGGACCCAGACAGAAAGCCACTGAGAAGTACTACCTTCTCGCCAGCAGTGAATCTCATAGTGGGACACAAAGAGCACTTCTCATGATGCCTTGCTTTTCCACAGGAAACTTGATGGTAGATGTTTTTATGTCAGTGGTTCTCAATTCTGCTACCATACTCCTAACATTCAGGCATTTGTCTGAAGAAAACCAAAATACCGCCATGATCCCTGATCCTCAGCATCCCTCCTCTCCTTTCCTGAGTATCACTGCTTTCTATCCAGTTGTGCTGAGCGCTTTCGTCTCAATAGTTCCATGGAGCAACTGACCAGAAGCCTGATCCTGCACGCCAAGGGCCAAGGGCCGAGGTCAGAGGTCTCCCATTAGGTCCAGTAAGTTGTTTTATGCCCCCCAGGAATCTCCTGGTTTGTGTACAGAAAGCCCTTCAGGTGAACCCTATCTGTCAGCTCCATCTCCAGGATGTATACTCCAGGATCCTTATGGTACTACCTAATTATACATGACAATTGCATACCACATCTTTTATTTCTGTTACAGATAAAAAAGGAATATTCATTATCCAAAGTGAGAGTCTCAAGAAATGCATTCAAGTGGGTCCATCTGTACTGACCCTGGAGGACTGCAAACAGCCAAACGAGAACATGCTGTGGAAATGGGTGTCATATCACCGTCTCTTTAACCTGGGAGGCAGCGGTTGCCTGGGCCTGAATTTATCTAACCCAGAGCAGCCATTAGGCATATATGAGTGTGATTCCACTGATGTTTCACTGAGATGGCATTGTAGCAGGAAGATGATCGTGGGCCCGCTCCAGTATATGGTCCAAGTGGAGCACGACAACACGGTGATGGCCTCGTGGAAACATCTTCACAAATGGGTTTCCTATATGTCAGGTGGTGGAGACATTTGTGAACATCTTCACACAGGTAAAAATAATTTAAATTGAAGTATTCATGGAATGGTAGACAGTATACCATGATTTGTAAAGCATTATATGGAAGAAGTCCACCAAGAATGCCAAGAGGCTTATGGTAAATACATTTTAGTGGCTTCCTTGCTCATGGTAAGAGAATTACTGAAGTCTTAGAATGGCCATGCTAAATTTTTCTACAAAGGCAGAACTTGTCAGATTTTGAAGATACCGAAAGAAAACCTAAGTTGGGGAATCAATAGAAAGAATAAGAGGGGGAAAGAAAAAAGATACTTAGAGTGAAGGATTTCATCAAAACAAATGCAGTAATGTCCCTGCCACCATTCCTCTTATTGTGGCGACAGCCCTCTGTGTGGACGTGGGAGAGGGGTGCACACCCAAAGCCTCCTCACTGCTGGCTGACATCCACACGATGGTTGTACTGTAAGGTACTAGAAGATAAATGGCACGGTACTGTCAAGGTTTATTTGGTGTGTGCCAGGCATAGTTTGTGGGAAGGATGATTTATGAGGGAACTTTGATTTTCCATAATTCTGTAACTGTTTTTGTCATTTTTAAACAGAACAAGACGCATAGTTAAATTCTGACACCCAGGCACGTTTCTCAGTTTGTTTAATAGCTCATCCATCCCCCATTTGAACACATATTTATCCAGCACTGACTGTTCATCAGGCACAATGCTAGGCACCTGGTTTACAAAGGCCAGCCAGACAGATGTGGTCCCTCCCTTCATGGCACTCTGTAGAATTATGCTTTACTGTAATCATATCCTCCCAAAACTTTGTATCAGTCCTTGGAGGCAGAGCAAGGGAGTCCTAAAGCCTTAGGCGGGATCTTTTCCTGGAGCTACAAGAAATGAATGGAAAGTTGGGTCCAAGAACAAGATGGGCTCAAGACTCATTCTAATAAAGCTAGTGCTATAAAGCAGCGCTCTGAAATCCTGCAACTCTATAGCCATACCACCTCAGACACACTTGATCTCATCTGAAACCCTCTAGTTCGAAGGAAGAATTTGATCTTTTGCTTCATGTTAAACTTTTAGCCATATACACATGCTCACAGTGTACACAGGGGAAAATGTATTTCTGGTAGAAGGCAATGGTTCGAAGCCAGAGAACATGTCCTGTTCTAAAAGGCCTCTAGTTGGTAAGCAGGCCTCACTGCTCAGACTGGCAATATATTATGAGCTCACTCCAGCCTCTGCCAACTATAGAAAAGTGGGGGACTCTCCACAGCTGACCCTTTTGCCCAGGAGTTATTAACTTAATTGAGACTGGTTTGATCTCACCTTAAAAAGCCCCAATTAAATCATGAAAAAGTTTGATTCTTGCTTAAGGCCAAGGTTAATGGACTGTACCAATACTCTGACAAAGCAGCCTCTGTGTGATCGTCTCTCTTTAGGCCATGTGGAAGCTGCCTAGCCAGCCCCTTTTACTCTTTCTCCTTTTAGGCTGTTTGCCACACTGCTTCTGATGGATTCTTTAACAACGGAAATCTAATCTTACAACTTTGTCCTTCGAATACTGCCAGTGGCTTCCCACCACCTTCAGAGTAAAAGCCAGGCTATACCATCGTGGCAGAGACAGTCTTGTGTGAGCAGATCTGCAGCGCTTCCTGGATTCCCCTTCCCCTAGAGCAGTGATGGCGAAATGTTAAGGCTTTCCATGACACAAACAGCCTGCTGCATTGCACATTGGTTTGCTGCCACTGCCCCAGAGCTTCACTGACCTTCATTTTCGCCTACGCATTCTTTTCTTGTCTTCTGCGGGAGCAACCCTTTTCCTAAGCACCTTTCTTCACCTAGTTCTTATTCAGAGAGGCCTTGCACTGACCACTTCGCGTAATGTGGTACCTTCCTGCTGCTTCATGCACACACACACACACACACACACACACACACACACACGAGTTCTTGCCCTATTTTGTTTTTTTCACTGCATTTATTACAACATGAAATTATTTGTATATTTGCCTCTCCCCACTAAGCCACATACATCAAAAAAGAGCTACCTACATTTGCTGGTTTGTTCACAACTCTCATGACTGTGCAGGGTATGTTAAATACTCATTGAATAGTTATTGAATGAATAAATTAATAAATACTTGCAATACCATTAGGCTTTAGATGCTGATGGCTGATGGCTGATGTCTCTGGAGACAGGCAGATATTTTACAGAAAAATCTCCTTTAAAGTTTCCTTTTTGTCCGTTCATAAATATTATGCTACCATAGCAGCACATTGCGGTAAAGAAGCAGCTAGATACATACATAAGCAGACCGTTTACCAGTACATCTTCTGACTAAGCCAGCACTTGGCTTAGTCCTTCTCCAGACACTAGATGAGGTCCTGAAGGCTCACCAAAGTTTAGCAAATGGCTGACCCTAGAAGGTTTTCCACCGGTAAAATTGCATTAACAAGATGATTTCTAAAGAGGAGGCTGACATTGTAAATTTGATCTTGTAAAATTTTCTTCTAGATCTGTATACAATCAAAGGGAATGGCCATGGACTGCCATGTGTGTTTCCCTTCCAGTACCGCCATCAGTGGCACCATGAATGTATCCGGGAAGGTCGGGAAGATAACTTGCTGTGGTGCGCGACTACGAGCCGATATGAAAGAGATGAGAAGTGGGGATTTTGCCCAGATCCCAGTAAGAATGAATCTAGCTTTCTTTATGCTTCATAGATGAATAAAGAATGATTAGAAAGTTTTTAAAAACAACAAGGTTAATGTATTGAAGTCTAAATAAGCACTCTGATTCCATTTAGCCAGATTTGATTTGGGGTTTATTTTTTGCCTTGATTATACAATTCTGATGTATATGCATTTGTTTTCCTTACCTTCAAAAGATGTTAATTAGCCATTCTTCATTAAGCCCAGTGCATAGGAATGCTTTAACTGCAAACATAATATAATACTTTGTGTTCTCATTAATCTCAGCTTCCTGGCAGGATGCTTCAAAACAAACCTCAAAATGCATACAAAACTCAGTTTTCCTTTAAACACTGCCTCTTAGGAGCTGCCCCAGTTTCTGTATGTCAAGTCTGCTTGTCTTGCCCGTTGTTGAGTTCAAGCATAAGCTGGTGCCTTAATAATATGTCCATAAAATCGCAGTTACCCTTATTATTTCTCAACAATGAATTTTCATCCTGAGTCTCTTTTCTTGTTACTTACTGTCTACCTATAGGCTCAAAATCTTTATCTCTCTTAACTTGATTTTCAAGGTCCTGTGACAGATGCAATGTTTTAACTTTTCTTTCTGTGTTAGTGCTTTAATATTTTTATTTTATCTGATTTTTATTTATATTTACCTAAAAGGTTTCCAATTGTCTCTAAGTATTGGAAAATATTTATCCTTTCTATATTCCATTTCCTTCATCTTGGTTCCTGCAGGTCAGAGCTTAACTTTATAATCTCTTCAAATTCCATGCCTACCTTCCCTTCACATATAAAATACAAAAGTTAGTTTAAAATAAAAGCAAATTGAAGAGAATAACCCAAAAGAATCTAATTTATAAATCATCTGTGGAATTGTTTCCTAACATAAGAGCCAGTGTGGCTTGATAAATAAGAAAGAGCATAGGCTTTGAAATCAGAAAACCATGGCTAGATGTAATGAGATTTTTGGGATGCTCCCTATGTCTCTCTGCGTCTCAGCATCCTTGGTCATATAATGAAGATAATAACACTACTTATTATTGTTATTGTATGGATTCAGTCAGATGCCTCCAAGGCATTTATCAGAGTACCTGGTTCACAGAAAGCATTCATGAAGGTTGGCCACTACCATCACCTTCAAGCCTAACTTATCTTCTTAGTGTGCACTTCTGAATCAATGATCCTCCCTCCTTATCGCTGGTCAATAAGAACCAGGCCTGGCATAGTGCTAAATACCAAGTTTCAGAACTTTGCTCCCTCCTGTCAAAGAACTTGGCACCTATATGGGAGACAGGATAGACACGTCTGCTGTATGACACAAAATACAAAATATATTTGATACGGTTCTCTAGAATACCTGGAAGACAGCTACAGATCTGTCCCCCACCACCGCCGATATGCAGTGGATCCAGGATGTGGGCCCCAGGCTCCTGCATTTTTGACAAGTTCCTTAGATGACCCTGATGCAGGCAATTCTTCATCAAAAAATTCATAATAGTAGATAATTCTGTGCAAAATATTTCTACAAAAAGGGATGACATTATGACATCTAGCAATCAATATGCTAAGGGCTGTTAACTGTTTCTAGTGGAGACATTAGTGTGAGGTTGAAAGTTTCAGAGGCCCACTGCTGGTGTTAACTCCTTAGCTGCTAGAATATGAGGGGATCCAGAGAAGGCTGGACAGTACCTGTTCACCAGCTAGCATGAAAGCATCTCATTGTCTAAAACTCACAAGTCGTCAGCCTTCTCTCTCTCTGAATCTGCACCTGTATTTGTAGGTGCATATGCTTGTAATCCCTGTACTCCTTGGATTCCTGAACTAAACTGCATAGCATTTGTATCATCATCTCTTTTCTTAGATGTCATAATTAAAACCAAGTAAATGAATGACATAGTAAAATTAACAGATATTTCACTTGGTTCTTATACTTGGCACTTTTCTTAAAGGTATTCTCTCTAAGCTTTTGAAAAGAACCCTGTCACCATCTCCTGTCACTTATAGCCAATTATAGATTTCCTAGTGGAAACTTGGATTTCATGGGTCTCAGAGCTCTTCACCTCCTAGACTATTTGTTCAGCTTCATATGGCTCAAAAGCCTCCTCTACTTGACAGCTTCCAGATTCCAGCTTTCCTGACTTTACCACAACCAGCCGAGAGCATGTTTCTTTGTATGGTGCTAAATTTCACTTCTAATTTTCTTCCCTCCTTGTTACTTTTGCTTTCTGGTAGCCAATGTAACTCAAAATGATGTGTCAGAGACTGAAATCTGAGCAAGCTGATAGATCGTTCCAAGATATTCACAAGTGAATAGGTTAGAGAAGAATGAAATAAAGAATCAAATTTCTGTATCTCATTTTTCTCATGAACTTTTTAAAATCTCAATGTAAAAGAATGCTGCCTTGAAAGTTTTATTTCAAGGGAGCGAAATTTAAATTTAATACTAATATACTTGAACTACCAGTGAAAGAATGTGAGAAGCATCTTAGGTACCTGGGAATGTTTAGAGACTATTATGGGCAATGTGAGATCTTTCTAAGTTGTGTGCCATATACAAATGGACCATCCTAGTTCAACATTTTAAAAATTCCACCCTCTAGAATAATCTGATTGCCCTTGAACCTTGAATAGACAGTTCTGCAAATATTTTACAAAGAGGCAATAAACATGAAAAGATGCTCAATGTCACTAGTCATCAGGGAGAAATAAAAACCCACAATGAGACCTCATTTCACACTTGATAGAATGACTGAAATAAAAACCACAAATAATAACAAGTTTTTGGGATGACATGAAGAAATTGGAAATTCATCCACTACTGGTAGGATTATGAAGTGGTGTTGCTGCATTGGAAAGTTCATTAGTTTTTCAAAAGAGTAAATGTAGAGAGTTACCATATGACCCTGCAACCCCACTAAGTTTACAATCAGTAGAGATGAAAATACGTGCCCATACAAACACTTGTACACAGATATTCACAGTAGCGTTATTCATAATAGTCAAAGAGTAGAAACAATGTGACTGCCGACTGATAAATATAGTGTGCTATATTCATACAATAGAATAGTTTTAAAAAATGAAGTAGTGGTAGATACCACAACATAGATGATGCCTGAAAACATCATACTAAGTGAATGAAACCATCACAAAAGGCCACATGTTGTATAATTTTATTTACATGAAGTGTCAGGATAGGGAAATCTGTAAATACCAACTAGGTTAATTGTTGTTGGCTGAAGTAAGAGAAGGCCAGATTAAAGGAGCAATGGAAACTACTAACGTGCACTGGATTTCATTTTAGTGTGATGAAAATGTTCTAAAATTTATTGTGGTAATGGTCGCACAATGCTTTGAATATTCTTAAAAGCATCGAATTACATAAGTTAAATGGGTGAATTTTATGGTGTATGAATTATATTTCAATAAAATGGCTTCTTTTTAGGAACAAAAAATGAGGAACTACAGAGTATTGTATAAAAGTACATGTCTAGCTGGGTATGGTGGTGCCTGCCTGTAATCCCAGCACTTAGGAGACAGAGGCAGGAGGATCTCACTGCCAGCATGAGGCCAGCATGGGCTACAAAGTGAGTTCTAGGCCAACCTGAACTGCATAGCAGGACTCTGTCTCAAAAAGACAAAAAAAAAAGTATATGTCTAGGAAAGACAGAAAAAAGGCAGTAACTAGGATAGGAAGACCAAGGTGGGGGCTCTTGCTTCTTTTTTTAAGGACAAAAAGTGTGAACTATTTTTAAATGCATCCAGAAATTATCTCACACCTAAAAGTGTCATAAAGTGAAAATAACTAGTGGGATCTCTGTGGTCTTTCAGAAGATGGAAGTTTGGAGGGTCCAGGTCCTGGCTGTTCAGGCTGGCTTTTCCCCCACATTAGCGCATGTTTGCAGTACCTAACGTTTATATGCACTGTTGGGGATAGGCACGTAACACATTTCAACTCCCACTAGCCTTCCTCCATTTCCCTTTAACTTTTCCAGCATCAGATTCATTTATTTATCTTATAAAACCTTATAAAGTTAATTATCATATATATAGATTCAAAACCAAGCTAGTTAGCCAAAGAATATATAAAATATGTAAAACAATTGTGTTGTCAATGTACATTTTGTCCACACTGGATTACAATATTTTTTTCTTTCCTTTTCTTTTTTCCTGTTATCCATCCTCTATTTTGTCATAGATAGATAGATATGTATGTACATACATACATATATATAGTTTTCATATAAGGAAACCCTGTGATATTTAAGGTTATGTCTCAATTATTTCACTTGTAGTCTCAAGGTGCATCAAGTTTCTACAAATGACTCAAGCGTATCCTTCCTTATGGCAGTATAGTATTCCATAGTGAATAAAAGCCACATTTTAAAATCTATTCATCTGTTAATGCACATATAGGCTGTTTCCAAGATTTATCTATTATGAATTGTGTTGCTATAAGCATGAGTGTGTTTTCCCTGTGGTATAATGTCTTTAACTCTTTTGGGAAGATACCTAGAAATGCAATCACTGAGTCAAGTGGAAATTTCTACTTTTAGGTTTTTTTTGAGGAATCTCCATACTGATTTCTATAGCGGTTATAATATAGGAAAGATCTAGAAACTCCAAATGATATCATGGAAATATTATAATTCTCAACCTGTTAGATGTTTGATACACTGAGTTTGTATTCTTCAAAATCAGAGAATGAATTCTAAGGAACAAAAAGGGTTGAGAGTAAGAAATATTTTTTGAAGAACAAATAGAAGGGGACCTGGAAAGTGGGTTGCCTAGAACCCTACTTTTAAGGGAAGTTTTATAGAACAACTATAAAATGCAACTAGGTGGATGCAACATGGGTTAAGACTGTGATCACCCAATTAGATTGTATGTAATATTGGTTCAGTGGAGAAGCAAGTCACGTACCAACTGTACATGGCAAGAACAAAGAACTTTTCAGGAAGGGATAAGTCTAAGGGTCTTGGTCACCCACCAAGG